GGCAGCAAAAAACAGAGAATAAGACATTAATATCATGTTAGGTAGAACTTGTATTCTTAAAGGATAGATTAGGAAGAAAACATGTCATATGTAATGACATGTCAGTGCAAAAAACAAAATGCAAATATTGCTCCAACAATTCTGCAAGGGAAAAAAATACTAAGAAATGCCATTATAAATTGTTTGCTTGTGATTGCAATGCTACACTTCTTTCATGTTCCAAACATAGTGAGAAAATATATTAGCATAAAAAGCCGTATATTTCCTAGCTATGACAATATGCTCCAGGTCTGAGGATAGAATTTAATTGTTGCCTAAAGCATTGTGAAATAAATGTCATTTTTTAATTAGATGCAACAAAGTAGAACCCTATTAAATTATTTGTTTACGAGGATTTTGCTTAAATGATTATCTTATTTTAGCCATGCCGATTTTTCTTCTCAAGCCTTTCAATTGGCAAGCAGATCATTTAATATTTCCTATCATTTCCAGCTCCCTCCTGTGGCTCAGGCTTCCTACTCAAAACTGAGATTATTGCTGCCTTTTTTTGGTGATATTCTGGAGTAAATAAAATCACCTTACAAAGTTGTGTGTGTGTGTGTGTGTGTATACATATCAAAAGTTTGTTTCTTGATTAAGAAAAGGCATAGAGCTACCATATTTTAGGTAGGTAATGTAGATCTTTTGAGATGAAAAGAAACAGTGAATAAGCCTCTTTGTGTGATAATGTTAAATTAAGATTTTAGCATATTCATCACCTACAACTTTAAAAGTATCTTGCATTTATCATAGCTGATTTTCTCACAAATTGATGTCAAAGGGAAATTTATGGTCCCCTAAGCAAAGTTTGTTAAGAACCAATTATCCTTTCAAGGAAACCTGGAAGTTTGATTATCTATAGCAGCATGATATCCTTTTCATTCTTCAATCTGCACTAAGAAAGAGTTGAAACGCATGTTTCCCTTTATTTTTATGGTTTAACTTGGCATGTGATTAATATTTTATGCTGAATAAATAGCTCTAAATAAAATTAACCTTACATCTATTAATTTGTAGATTGCTATTACTTTTTTACACTGACATCATTCATAATGTGAATGCAAAAGTATAAACACGGGAACATTGAGGAAATCTGCATGACATTGTATAATTATATCACATTCAGTTATGACACTCTAACACAAGTGATGGTTCTCCTTATATTCTAGCAACTTTGCTTTGTATTCCACGCCACAACTTTCCCAGATATACACAGCCCTTGATATGTGATTTTCAGGGTCGCCTAATCTATAACAAATTAGCAGGCATATAGAGATGGAAATGGAAAAAAAATGTTTCACTGATGCATGCAATTTCATAGTAGATACTGGAATCTGTGCAGATTGTTATATAATATATAATAATGTTGTATAGCCCTTGGCTACATTACCACTAAGGCCAATTTAGGTTCTTTCAAAAACAGTTTGCTGCTTTCCCAAAAGGCTGTTCAACTAGTTCATACTGTCAGGAAATCCTGCCCAATTGTGAGGGGCATTGGCAGTTAAGTACTTCTTTGCTTTGTGTGACTCTTCTTCACTCAAATCAAAATAAAGCAGAGAGAGATAAAATGGAAAATGTTTTCAAGTTAAATATATGAATCGAGATTAAAGTTGACATTTTTTTGTTTCGGGTTTCATTTTTCATTGAAATGGGGAGAATAGTTATGGTATTCTATTTAAATCTTACCAAATAATGATGCAACAAGCAAAATATTGAACTGGCTCAATTCTTTCTTGTTTGGCAGTAGTCAGTGACAATGCATGACTGATAGAAAACAAGTGAGATAGTTTGAACAATATATCTGGCAATCCAGCAATCAACATTCAGAAGGCTCACTGCCGTGCAAAGCACATACTGTAAGCCAGCAAAAGAGTAGGAAAACAGGGAAAAAGTAAGAAACTTTAAAGCTCACATTTCCATTCTAACACTGCCAGAAAACAATGTTCAAAAGAAGAGGTGAAATTGATGCAGGGTGAAACTTTGAAGGTATTTTAAAACATAGAAGATCTGAATGATGATTTCAGTATTATGAGGAATGGAAGCAGGAGATTGGCTATTTTGTTTTATTTTATTATTTATTACACATTACATTTATATCTTCAAGTTTAGTTAGACTTCCAAGGATCAGGGGGGGAAAAGTAAGAATTAAAAGCGACAGTGACAACATAATGCAATGTTTTGTTTATGTATAGCCAACCTTTATTTCTTTCATAAATAATTAAAGATAGTCATTATAACACTTGCCCGCATACTAACATACCTCACAATCCTCAAATGCCCATTCTCAAGAAATATTGTTTTCACCAAAATGGGAAAATACAAGAGCAGATACTTACGTAAGATGATTTTATTTACTCCAGAATATCACCAAAAAAGGCAGTAATAATCTCAGTTCTGAGTAGGAAGCCTGAAGTGAAGTGAGCCACAGCAGGGGGCCGGAAGTGATAGGAAATATTAAATGATCTGCTTGCCAATTGAAAGACTGCTGAATACCACCTCTGCTAATGACACATGGCATCTTACAATGATCTCCAAAAGGAAAAAACAAACCCATAAGACTATGGAACTTTTTTCCAACATCTAATAAACAGAAAGCCTCATTTTCCCCAGAAATCCAGGAATGCTGTTCCATAGACTCAGTTCTTAGCTTCTTTCCTTATCTTTTACCAAAGACCTGCTTGCAGTTTTCAAAAGAACAAAAGTGCTTTCACGTGGAGAGGAAGGAACAGAGGCAAATCTCTTTTTCTGCAACATGCTTAAGTAAGCATCTCTCCTTTTGCCAAGATGATCCTGCTTGAGGCAGAAGGATGTATCTTCCCTGTCTCTGAAGCACTTATTTCTATGAATAACAACACAAACAGCTAGTTAAAAAGGAAAGATGGGAGTTTGTTAATAAATACACCTGAAAGAAATGGGATGCTTATTTTAAATTTGCATAAAGATGTAAGAAGACTGGTTTTTTTGTATTGTATAATCCGCTCTTTTTTACATTACATTTTTAAGCAATGCATATTTTGCTGGAACAAATATAATTGCTATGATTGCAGCCTGGAAGGTAAGAGGTAAAAAAAAAACCTAATTTTTTTTCACTACTGCATCACAAATTATAGCATCAAACTTAATGTACTATATTTTGTCATCAATAACAGTGAAGTGTCACAGTTTTGGGAACACTAATTTCAGAGATGACTTTGACTTTATTCTTAAAATACAAGCATCATGATAAGTTTGTTATATCCTGTTGTATCCACTAGAAACTTCTGATGACAAACATGCAGTGCAGTTCTTTTTAATATAGTTGATTTTTGTGGTGTTTATATTGAAAGACAAATACAAGCCAAAGAGACACTCTGGTTTTCAAACAACCCAGAATTAATTAGTTCAGATTTCTTATTGATTGATCAAGATAGATAGTAGGAAGTATATGGTTTGGTTCTTGTTCTGCCAGCTATTTGTGTTGCAATGAAAAATTGACACCCTTGAAATGCTTTCAATTGCTCTAAAAATACTTTATTCCTTGATGTGAGAACTTATTAGCTACTCAGTTTGCAAATTCAAGGAATTCTCTACCATAATGTTTTCTAATTCAGACATGGCTGTAAGTTCAGCTGTTTTCCTTCTGTTTTCCCCATCCCTTTCTAAGCATCTTGCATCCTCAAGAACTTTGAAATCTTGAAAGTTTGCAACAATTCTCAGCTGGTGATACGCATTTTACATTTTCCCCCTGATGGCAGAATACAGCAACTCTTGCGTTTTAAAGAGTATAATTTAAGCTCCAGTAATGTATGAAAGTATAACATGTTTTTCATCAAACACTTCCTAATATAGAAATCAGACAGTCATGAAATCTAATAATATTGAGATTCATTGAAAGAATAATGTCATTAGAAACATGCTTGGTAAGCATCTTCTCCATGAATAGTATCGGTAGTCACTAACTCTGAGAGATAGTGTTACTAGTATCTCCTTGATTGTATTAAATGCTTTTTTTTATTTCAATATAGTCATTTTATTAATAATTCATTTTAATTTAGCTTCAAGAATGGCTCAGTCACTTTCAGATGGGCTAGGCTAGGGGACTGTGGTTATTCCTTAGATTCATTCCAAGGTGTGTAAAATGAGGACCCAGATTGTTGGGGGAATAGACTGGCTCTGTAAACCACTTATAGAGGGGCTGTAAAGCCCTATTGAGGTTAGTGAAATATCTGAGATTTTCTGAGTATCTGATGATTCTAATGGACCAGATGAGAGATAATTGCATTGTAATTTAATTCAGATAAAATAGAGATTATTTAGTCAGGAATTGGACCTAGAATACAATTTCAGTATGTTCAGGGTAGAACAGTATTCTTCCTGAAAAATATGTGTGTCAACCAAAGATGATGTGGTCAAACGAGATCTGACTGGTTATGGTACCAGTTATAGATTCACTAGCTACATTTAAAATGGAATAATAAAGTGTAATTTTAATGGATAATTTATTCATCCATTCAGGTGCCTAATCCATCTGTGAATTTGTAGAATATCAGTCATGTAACTCCAATTGCAATACCCAGTTCCTTTAGAAAAGGCTGTCCTTTGCTTCTGCCTGATTTATAGTTTTTATTTAAGTGTCCGTGTAATTTGTTTTAATGTATTTTCAGCATGGTTTTTGTTTTGTCTGTTAACGAAAGCAATTTTTATAACAATTCCAAATATTGCACATATGCAGCAGAACAAGAGGGCACCCTTCCAGGAATGGAGTTGAATGTCCCCAGCTTATAATTGTTACAGAACAATTTGGCAAAATTTCTCCAAAGAAACAATTGTCATACGTTTCATGTACATGGGCACCCTCACATTCCATTGAGATTATTGGAAATTGAGCCCAGAGAGCTGGAAATCAAACCCAATGTGTTTTCTGTGTAGATAATGTTATTTTCAACTCATTCACTAAGCTTTTGTTTCCTCTTTGACTGCAGGAATGACTTGTCAAGCCAGAACATCATACACAGAAGATGAAGTTCTCTGGGGTCATCGCTTTTTCCCTGTTATTTCCTTAGAGGAAGGCTTTTTCAAAGTAGACTACTCCCAGTTCCATGCCACCTTTGAAGTTCCTACTCCACCTTACAGTGTGAAAGAACAGGAAGAAATGCTGCTTATGTCCTCCCCTCTAATAGCACCAGCTGTAGGTAACAGTAAAGAAAGGAATAATTCTATAGAATGTCTCGATGGCCTTGATGACATTGGTACAAAGATACCCTCCAAACTACAGAAAATGACTGGAAGGGAAGACTTTCCTAAAAAACTGTTGAGAATGAGTTCTACTACTTCAGAAAAAGCCTACAGCATGGGGGACCTCCCCATGAAACTTCAGCGAATAAGCTCTGTCCCTGGAAACTCAGAGGAGAAACTGATATCTAAGACCACAAAAATGTTATCAGACCCTATGAGCCAATCTATGGCAGACTTGCCACCAAAACTTCAAAGGTTATCCGGAGGAGGAGGAGGAGGAGGCAGAATGGATGGAAACCTTCCCCCCAAGCTGAGAAAAATGAATTCCGATCGGTTTACATAACAGGAACAAACTTTTTAGGCATTACTTGAATGGCCATTATCTCTAACTGGGGCAGAAAAGTAAACACATTGAAATAATATTTGGTGACTGGGTTTCTTTACAGCTACATGTACTCTGGGATAATACTCTCCCTTTTTAAGGACTACAATAAGAGATCTGAAGTTCAGCTTAGGGTCACTTCGAAAGCTAATAAGCTAATACTATTTGGCATGTAGTATCATCACAAGCATGCAATAATAGTGTGCAAATTTTGCATATAGTTTTATGGCATGGTTCTTATTATATTTATACTGTATATTCTGGGAAAAATGTAAATGGAGGGTTAATTCTCCTATATTTCTTAAGCTTTGATTAATAAGTACAAACAAAAGTGAGCTACTAACAGGGCAGATTATAATTTGTAAGGACACAGAATCCAGCAAAAGATGAACATTTCAGGCATGAGCATGTGCCCATTGCATCCTCCATTTCCTTCAGAAAGATGGGGAGTTTTCCGCTGAAACATCTCCCGCTCACTCAGTAGCAGCCGCGGCAGCTCTCATGAGGGTAAGGAAACGTGCAGGAGAAGACTATACATAAATAAGAAACTGAATCAGATCTTTGGTTAATCTTTAAATACATATTTAATTACTTTCCAGTCAATACAGTTAAGTGTGTATGTTGGCTGAATCATGCCCATTTTTTTTCCTGATGTAAATTGTGTTGTTTTTCTTCAGACAGTTACGGTGCATGTTTTCTTTGTTCAAATAAGGCTACAGCTATTAAGAATTCTGAACACCAAAACTTTTAACCCTTTAAGCTTTTTTTTTTTTTGCTTTAACACTTTCCCCAGTTTATTTTGCTATATGGATACTCTATTTTTTCTTTACAAAAAAAGTCAATTCTGGTTAGAAGCAGGCAAAATACATGGCAGGCAGAGTTCTATTTTAGGCAGAGGTCATAAAATCAAGAAAGTTATTGTGATACATAGTTGTTTCATTTTCATTAAAATAAGTATGAAATAAACTTCGACATGGAAATATTTTCTTGACTTCTTACACTAATGGCTTACTCTGATTTTTCATGCATCAAGTAAATTCCTTTCTTCATATTGACTCTTTATATCCATATTCATCCTACAGTAAAGTTAGATTCAGATAACCCAGGGCCTCAAAAGCTTACTGTGAAAGTTGTGTAATCCCTCGTGAAGTGCTTTTTGTAAATCTGTAAGCACAGATAGGTTCAGAGCTATTCTTAACTTCTTAGAAATCAAAAACCTCTGGAGTAGTCATCTCAGCAGTTATTATAAGGTTCCTGATTATTGGAAATTAACTTGCAGATTATTTTATGACAATAGCATTTGTTCGGGTCTGCAGCTTCATTAATGAAAAGATTTTTTTTTTCTCCACAGTACAAGCAGCCTAATCATCAATGCACTCTTGCCTAAGTCCTCCTTAGCCGTAAGAAGGTGAATAAAGATAATTTATAACAGTACCTACTATGCACTATCAGAAACTGATGTACAAAAAGGATTAAAAGGTGCATTTGCATGCCAAGGTTGCACTTCCCTTGCAAAATAGGAAAACACATCACGGGTAAAAGGCACAAATCAATTAAAAGGGCCATATTGTAACTCAGAGCAGGCAGTTCTACTGTTGTTGCATTATTATGCTAGTCGTTTTTGCTTCTACATGCCACTGAATCAACCAAAATGATATTAAACAATCAGGAAGAGAGAATGATAACTCTACATTATAAATAGCCAAATAGCTGACGTAGATCTATATCTGTATCTTGTTTTCCAAGGTTATTTCCAGCTATTACATGTATGTAGAGCCATCAAAAAAAAAATGTAACTTACATTCAAAGGCATTCAGAAGCCGCTACAGTGGATTAACAAAGAAGGGAAGCCTTATGACTACCTTCATCAGAATTTAACTATAAGGATCAGTGAGATTTTGTGGCGGGTGTGGGGGGAGGAGGAGATACAATTTAGCAGTAAAAATGCAACCCTTCTCCTTTTTGGCTATTTTAGCCATCACAGATTTAGAATCCTTATGATTCTTTTGTGAAATTCCTATAAGCATAGTCCAAAAGAGTACCCAAAAATCTAGAAATATATGATCTAAGTACAATCTCACTGCACAAAAACAAGAGTCACAGTCCTAATAATAGGATTACTTATAGTAATCAGAGTAACCCATATATATATATATATATATATATATATATACACAGCCTATAATAATTTTGTTTACAGTGTGCTACACACACACAAGACATCAGGGATCAAGGAGTATCATTGCCAGAGGTGCCTATAGGGTAGGAAAAATTGGCTTTAATTAAGTTGGCTCAATTATAGAAATTGTGTTACATGCTACAGGAAAGGATAAATATAGGGAAGATTTCTTCTAAATAAGTGAAAACCAGGCATCCAAAGCAATGACGATCGATAAACCTCAGAGCAGAACCACTCTCATTGTGTAACACAAAACCTTCAGCAAGAAACCAAGATACTTTGGGTGATTCCAAGAGCTTGTGTGCTCCCAGAAGAGTATTTGACCTTTTTTCCCCCTTTTCTGTTAGAAACTGCTTCCTAGGCCATATCAGAAACCACTTCTGCAGTTCCCTGCAATATGCCATAATAATTTGACATAGGGAACTGTTCAATGAAAAAGTCCAACATTCCCTTGAGAGTTTAGTGCTAGTTGTGCTATTCTTTAGACCTTAATCAGACTTCCTAACTTGGATCCTTGGGTTGAATTACAGTTCCAAAACCAGCTTAATCAGTTAATGCCTGGAAGATGGAAATCTGGCCTTAGACCTTTTTTCTTTTGCCATGAAGTGAAGCCAGAAAGAAAGAAAAAAATGCAGAAATTGATGAAGCCTGCACCATTCCAGTGTTTGAACCACAAATGTTAATAATTCAAGCTTTCACGACCGGCATCAATCCAATGGGGCCAAGCTTCTGAGCTAATAAGCCATGACTAATTATCTGGTATACTGACATTTCACCAGCAATAATGGCTGGTATCTTCAGAGGCAAAGTGATCACAGGCAACTGAGCAGAAACCAACAGAACTCTTGTATTTGGAACAGAAGTAATCTCTAATTGGATAATGTCACTGGAAAGCCAGTTTCTGATTGGTTCTTTATACAAGCGAATTTGTAATTGGTCTGATTTTAACAAGTTCCAAAGGGGCTAATTTTTTTATTGGTCTGTCTGAAACCAGCTACTGCTTATAATTATTATTTCAGGTAAGACCGATGAAGATTCTATAAAGTGTGGTTAATCAAGGGCTTTTTTTTAGGGTGACGTAAAACTAGAAACCAGGTTTTGTTAACATTCAGACTTTCTTGTTAACCTTGGAGTGTTTATAAATCTCAATAGCTTCTCTCTCTGTAGTTGTGCATGACAATTTGACATGATTGCTAATACTTGTGTGTCTTTAAATTGAATCTATGCCCATTATGTAGCAATGAGTGTTCAGCTACCATTAATTTTCAAGTTGTAATATTTCTCATGTTCTTTTAGTTGAATTTTTTTGTTTAGTTCCAATACATACCTGTGTACAACTGCAAAGTTTGTAACAAAACCCCGATGATGAAAGATGACCTGCCATCCTTAAACAAATGAATAATTTATTGAATTTTTCACATTGGTTTGTAGATAGTTTCTAAGTTGTATTTCTCCAGTAATGTTCAGTTTGGTTTGTAATTTTCTCAATAAAAGGAAAACCACCTTTCCTACTCTGGGTATAGTTTGTCCTTTGATGTATATGTGAAGCTGTTTTTATTGTTGGATTGTATCACTTGTGTAATCTCACCATCAGAGGAACCATTAGCTGATAAAATCAGGATATCTCAACTCATCCAATAATCTTTTCAAGCTCACAAATAAGTCAAGAATGATCAGTGAGAGTTTTAATCCTATTTTGATTAAAGTTTGAGGAGATGGTGGTTAGAATTAATAGTGAATTACATAAAATTAACATTAAATGCATGTATGTCCAAATCGTTGGTTTTTTTTTTTAATGATTAGAACATCCAAAAATATAAGTTGGCCATTCTTCTCTTTTATCATAAATCAAATATTTTAGTGGACACAATTCAGATGCTCTAGAAATTTCTTGAGTTCTTCCTCACTATAACTCCAGATCGCAAAAAAGTTGTCCACATACAGTTTTAAAAGTGCAGGGTTCAAATTTCTGAATGTAGAAATTATAGAAACTAAACTCAGTGGGCAACCTATGTCAGCCCATTTAATTTGCTCAGAGAATTTGATGTTCCTCTGGAAATAACTGCCAGTTAGCTAACAATGGAATAAATTGGTAAAGTCTTTGGAGAAGATTTTCTTAATATACACAGTACTGATGTTTTCTTAATCAGCAACTTTCTAAAAAGTAAAAAACACATCAGAACTGATCAGTACATTATCTTGTCTAAGGCCAAGCTTAATTAATTCCTCAATGAAATAGGGTTGAATCCTTAATATATGTTGACATGCATCCACTACAAGACTGTAAAAGTGCAGTTAAGTGTTTTGCCATAAGACATGAGCTGTTGGATCACATTTAAGTTTTTATGAGTTGCCTAGTCTAAGAGATCCTGAAGATTGTTCTGACAGTCTTTCACATTCATAATCACTGTAGCATTTCCTTTATCTGCTGGCAGAATAATTATCCTCTCTTGTGCATTATGATTGTTTAAAGGAACATGTTTCTCCCATTATCAATATACTGGCGGGGTGGTGGTGGTGGTGATATCTCTTTAAAATTTGACCAGTCTTATGTCTCATTTCTTCTATAGCCGTGTTTCTCAACATTAAGATCTGGAGACTTCAACTCCCAGAATTCCCCTGGCCAGCATGAACCTAAAAGCATGCTGGCTGGGGGAATTCTGGGAACTGAAGTCCATGCATCTTAATGTTACATAGGGTGAGAAAGACTATTCCACAGAAACCAACCTCTCATGACTACTGAGTGGGTGATTGGAGAGTTAATGATTGTACAGGCAGTCCTTGACTTACAACAGTTCATTTAGTGGCCGTTCAAAGTTACAACAGCAATGAAAAGAGTGACTTGTGACTGTTTTTCACACTTACAACCATTGAAACATCCCCATGGTCACGTGATTAAAATTCAGATGCTTGGCAACTGACTCCTATTTATGATGGTTGCTATGTCCCGGGGTCACATGATCACCTTTTGTGAACTGCTAACAAGCAAAGTCAATGGGGAATCCAGATTCACTTAACAACCATACGACTTAACAACTGCAGTGATTCACTTAACAACTATGGCAAGAAAAGTCACAAAATGAGGCAAATTCACTGAACAAAAGTTTTACTTAGCAACATAGATTTTGGGCTTAATTGTGGTCATAACTCAAGGACTACCTGTATGTACGATAGTTGGTTTTAACAGCTGTGTTGATAATCATCAAATTTGTTTCAGAATATAATAGAGGCAATCTTCGATTTACAACAGTTCATTTAGTGACCATTCGAAGTTACAGCGGCACTGGAAAAAGTGGCTTATGGCCATTTTTCACACTCATGACCCTTTTTCACTCTTATGACTTCTGTTGTTGCAGCATCGCCATGATCATGTGATTTGCATTCGGATGCTGGACCATTGGTTCGTATTTATGACGGATGCATTGTCCCAGGGTCAAGTAATCACCTTTTGCGATCTTCTTACAAGCAAAGTCAATGGGGAAGCCAGATTCACTTAACAACCGTGTTACTAACTTAACGATGGCCTTGATTCACTTAACGGTGGCAAGAAAAGTTGTAAAATAGGTCAAAACTCAACAAATTTCTCACTTAATGTGGTTGTAAGTTGAGGACTACCTTTGAGATGGACAGCTATACAAATTGAGAAAGAGAAAGTGAGAGAAGATCTGTGTTTTGAAGAGCTTCCAGGATACAAACTTGATGGAAAATATCTTTGCCATATAGGCGAACAGTATATTGATACAGCTTTCTGTAGCAGCCGAAAATTACCAGGCAGACCTCTTTACCTCTGAAGATCCAGGCACAGTTGCACTTAAATTGTCAGAATACCAGATAATTGGACCAGGCCCTATGAGCCCCAAAGTTCATCCCTATTGCAAAGTGTCAATCTTTGCACTGAAAATTTGACTTTAGGGAATAAAAATGGGTGGCTGTAGTAGCAAATTTTAACATACCACATTCAAATTATTATATTTTCCTTTCGTAATACAATTCTAACGTATTTACTTTTGTTATACTATTCTATCAACATTTGTAAATTATAACATTTGGAAAATAATTGAATTGGGGGTGGGGAACAATTTGAATTGTTTTATTTTTGTAAGGATATTTATGTTAGGAATTTTTGTTTGAGCAATAACCCCAAAAATATGTTTGGATAAATTTGGGGTTCAAAAATATTTCATAACTTAGACAAAATATTTTGCTATAATTATCTTTTCTCTGCATTGAATGTTTTTTTTGTATGTGTTTTACATAGATATTTGTATTG